GTGCACCATCTCCACTAACTATAGATTATTCTTCCAGTGAATTCTGGTCGGATTATTTTATTTGAAAAGTGACTTAGGATAGAATCAAATACAATCATCTCAAGAATAGAAGGAAATATAAACATTGTTCTACGCTGATCGGACATCCTATGAGTATAGGCTGGGTTCAACCGACTGACAATGACAGAACTCTCCATACAAGATTCAGTGCACTAGTTAATCTACCCTCAGGAGGTGCACATATCATACATTGATTTATCGTCAAAAGTCCTCTTCGGGTTTACTGACTCTACTTACCTGAATGTTGTTGTTTTAAATCTCCCTAAATACAAAATTATAAGAAAATTTGAATGTCGATAATCTCTTTATGGCAAACGTTATGCCAACAAATAATGATTATAATGATCTTTAAATACATATATAGGTTTATCGAGTTCATTTAAATAATTGTAAACAATCATTGTTCAAACGTCTTTTAAAACTTCTCAAGGTGCCATCATGCCTATTAGGGAGGGGGCAAATTACCCTTTTTTTAATGATTTTGGGTTTTATATATTCATGTCAGAGGTAGACTTTTTTTTAAGGATAAGCCTATGTCTTTTCAAATTACATCACCCTTAAGTATATAAAAACGACTTTCGAGTCTCTCGTATCTTCATGTGCCACAAAATTAATGATGCTAAGTTTTAAACCCACATATTTCATATCCATTAATCTTCTTTTGCTCTCAGCATAATACAATCGCATGTCATACTTAAAGCCCCACTGTCCTACTTGTTACTACTTGCTCCCTCTATAGAGAAAACTTTCCCAATCGGTGCATGTTGGTCCCCCATGATCCTCTATTTCTTATGTTATTTGAGAGCTGAGTTGATGAGATAGCCACCTGTCAGTAACCTCGTTGTGTGGTCTAATCCTTCCTAGCCACACTAGTATTGATAAGCTTTCAATGGTCGATTTGGATTTGCCCTTCACCGTGCATTGTTTCCGATCGTTCACTTCTACGTAAAAAATAACAATGTGTGACGTCATCTGCATGGTATCCGCCCATGTTTGTTCTATAATCATTAGATTAGGAAATCGGTTCGTTATATGAGGTCAAGGGCGAGGAAATTATCACCAAACCATGAAAAATGATAGATAGGTCGATAGATCTCGTTAGAAAGTTGTTAAAATGCAGAGGAGACCGTCCTGTCGATCTAATGTCGGTCTCGTGGGCGTTCTGACAACTATTCTGAGGGTTTAACCAGAACGACAATGTCGGTTTGTTGGGCCGACGGTCTACTGGGATGTCAAATACATGGACAGGATTGTCGAACATCAAGAAAGCACTTTCAGAATAAATGTCATCATAACTCAAAAACGGATCGACCAACAACGTTAACGGACATCACTTTAGAAAAAGGTGCGAATAACCCCCGAAGTTTAATAGGAAGTGACGAGAGGATGATCATCAACCTTGCTCTATTATTCCATGAGTTTGCCTGAATGTCATCTGCATTATGTGACTGTTATCCATGAAAAAAGACCATGTATTGCGCGCGTGGCAGGCTGATCTTACGAGGATTAATTTTCGTACAAATTCGGAACTATTGTCAGTAAAGTTTGCAATATCTCAGTATACTTAAAGATCACAGCATCAAAGCACATAATGTAGTAAGTTGCTTATCGGTCAAGTAACTCAAGTAAATCTATTTATTCGACTGTGCATCGCAGGTACACATTCATAATCTGGATAAGTAATGTTTAATTTCAACATAGTGTTTATTTTTGTATTGATTATCACAAATCTAAACAGAATATCACTGTATTTCGTTGTTTCCGAGTATGTGACATTGTTTGAAACGTTAAAGCCTTTCTGAATTAGATTCTCGTTTAATTCTGACAGATCTTTATTGTCCTATATATCATTCTATTTCTTGAATTACCAAAATTGAAAATAACCCCCATCCCCCTTCTTTTCTCGCTCACAAACTTGAAAAATGAACAACGCCATATCCCGCATTCCCCTATATAATTATACTCGTCATCCGCATCTATAAAGTTCCTTCACTTGATTTTAATTTTTTTTTTAATAATTTATTATTGACTTTACTTCTCACATCGTTGCTATTATCTTAATATCACTGGGCTATGTTACAATTTGATTTGTCTTAAACTATCCTGAATTGATGGGGAAAAAGAAGAAGAAAAAACAATGTCATTTATTTTCGGGTAAAATCATATTTGCATCAATCCTAGCCAATCTGATCCGGCTCCATTTTTTAACAGTCGATCGTGCCTTTTCTTAGACTTAAAGGCTTATTTAACTCCTCAACAGTTTCAGTTCACTTATGCTATTAAATGCGACTCACATCAATGAGGAATATGGCTTATAGTCTTGTATTTTTCTCCAAAATACAGGCATACAGTCAGTTTATCAACTGTTCTTTAAAAGTATCAAGGTTCTGCTTTCCTAAGTCCCTGCTTGGTCGTAGCATAACCGCATGCCAGCATGATTCCACGGGATGATTCTCATGCACCACCGGTAAAGTAATAACTTTGTACTATTCGACCTATATTCATGGTCACACCATAATAGACAATGAATAGATTCGTCCGATATGAGGCCCCATTGTTTTTAGTTCGTCTGACAATGAATTGTGTAATTTCTCGGTATCCAAACGAATCGCTCACCCATCCCATTAACAAAGTATATGCCCTGTCACTTCCATTATAATCATTTTAGACTAGGAATTTTTTTTTTAGGGACACAGGTTTCAAAAAGTGCTGAACAACCTTCAAAATCAAAGAATGTCAAACAAGCAATGGTTTTTCATGATTTTAATAGGGGTCTAAAACTTCTCAAAAAACTAAACGAAAGTAAAACTAGGTTCTCGCCCCCCCCCCCCCCTGAAGCTTTGTATGTCTCAAATATATCAGACAAGTAACAAAGATCTTAGCTGGGGATGATTATGTTTCTTGGAATATTATACACAACACACTCTTAAACGTCTAATAACCAATATAAGAGTCGATGAGTGAAACATCTTCAAAACGGAAAATTGACATTTTAACAATATTTAGGGATCCCTCCTCGGCCCTTTGAACGGTGATCGTGGTACTCTATATCGCTATGAAGCCACAGCACCTATAAACACCTGTTGTCTGATTTTAAATGGTCAGTCATTATGATTGATGACATTCCTGAGTAAGAACCCGGATGATGCTAATCACTGAGTTCGGAGTCATGTTAACGCATTCTATCCATGCCGTACGTGTATTAGAAACCAACTGATTCAGTCTGTGGGCATGAAGTTATTAATCCCAACAAGAAAATATGAATCATGCAGGGATTCCTCCGAAAAGAACTGCGCGCACAAAGGACGTTCGATTTCAAGTACATGGAAGGAATTAACGTCCAAATGTAAAGGACAAACGGTAACAGATAAATCACAGAGTTAAACTTGATTGTAGGCCTGCAAGGAAGGTTAACGATCACAATAATGTCCAGCCGAACCAATTAAAACTGAGTGACTATAAACACAAAATGATTATGAGATCTGTCTGGACTAGGAAATGATGTTGCATGTATGCATGATTATATCACGTGATGATACTTTTTTTAAAGGTTATAATTATCATGCACATATCCATTACAGGGGATGCTCAAGTCGTTTACGAAAATATTACGTAATATTACTGTACGATTACACTTAAAGCATAAAGGTAATGAATTCGAACCTGGCTGGTACCCATTTACTACCACGGGGGAGCGGCAAACCTATATATTAATGTCTAGCCATATAACATTAGAATCAGGGTTGGCCTTGATTTGCGAACCATGTGACATAATATTATCCACTTAGACCACAACATTACTCCTCCATCTTTCAGTATTATCTCGTTGATTTGATTACATTATTTCAGGTACAAACAGAATCCCGGTGGAAAGTGTAAATGTAACCTCTCTATATAGACACAATGTACTACTTGGTTACTTGGTTGGGTAATCCCTTTGGCAGCTCACTCAGGAAGCTATACTGGACGTGTTAATGCCATCAATACATTGCCATCAAAATAGGATAACACACTAAAAACTAATATATAATTATCTACCTTCTACTCCGTCCCAGCGGGTCTCATGAATGCACGCCCACCGTAACAGCTACAAAGGTCATGAGAGTTTATAACAACCATCTTTTTATTTATTCTAAAATCGTGAAAATGAACTGATCCTGAAGTTTTTTATGTATTTTTCAAAGAATATTGCCAGAAAGCAAGAGTAAACGCAATTTTGTTTTTAAACGCCAAGCATAAAAGGGTGTCAAAGGAAAATTAACCTTGAAATAAAGTGGTTTTATTGCAAGCGGAAAAATCTGCTTTTGCTCGAACTTTCACTGATCTGTTTCTCTCACTTTTTCAACCAATTTATATCAGGGTGGCCTTCATTCTTTACATTGAGAGCTCCTAATTACCATGATTTAACTTCAGCTAGAAATGAATCAGATATCAACAAGCCAAGACTTTTTTCACTTGACTAACATGTATATTAAGTTTAAACCGTCGACGTAGATATATCAATCTTGAGATGAATATGACTTTGTGAGAGTTCTGCTATAGTCTAAAACTATGTTATTGATTTTCATTTTATCGAATTTGCAATTTACATAATCAAGGGATTGAACGCAACTAAGGATCGAATCTTGAGTCGTATGTACGAGACGAGAGACCTAACCAGTAGGCCATCTCACCTAATAATAGGGACTTTTAGATTTGCACAACGACAACGTGGATTGCTACGATCGACGTCATTTTAATGCACTGCCTTGAATGGACGTCACACGTATCAGTCCACGCGAATCTAAAAGTCCCTAATCAACTCGTGCTCTGTGCTCGGGGCACTGCATAATTGTAGAATACAATAAATGATTACGTAACAATTTAGACTGCCATCCAAAGCATAAAGAAGGTCGATGTAAATAAACGGCAACAATACGAGAATTCACCAGACCGTGGCTATGCTCATAGGAATAGCAAATATGAAGAAGAAGTGAAGAGCGTTCACAGGAAAACAATGAGTTGAGGGGTTGAGACCTACTTTCTCCTGTCGTATTAAAACAATTGATCTCTTGCAATCATGACAAATGAGGTCAAAATCTCTAACTAAACCAGGAATATTAATAGGTCTACCAGCTATTAGAGAGTAACCGTTGGTGCGTCGTGCTAGTATTGATTAATAGTCTAGGGACCTACGTTACGAGAACGCACTATTGATTTGAGCCTCAATGCTGTCGGAACGGCTATTCATTCACTCCCTGTCGTTACTTGTCTGGATTGTATACTGCTTTTTTTCCAGCAGAAATAGTAAGTTTTCATTTCATTTTGTTTTAATTATTTGTAATGCTGCTTATTTCTTTCTACTGGCTTCTGATGCTATCTCTGCAATATGTCCATGTATTTGTATTGCTTGGTATCTTTTCATTCCATTTTTATTCGAATTTGTATTCCAATGCCCAACGATATTATTGATGATTTCAGACATACGTGTATACTGATATTCATCATTTTAGTTTGATAAATGCAAACAAAGCTTTGTGGTCGCTCCCTTACTTTACAAACCTTCGACAAACCTTTAGGATTGTCGATTAAGATTTTGTTTCCCAAACGGTTTTATTCAAGCACATCACATACACACACACCCAAAAACAAAAACGGCCCGGCATAATTATACAAAATTAAATTTAAAAAGTGGTTAAGCTATCACAAATTCAGTGAGGGCCTTTACATGAAGTAGTAGTAGTAGTGGTGGTGGTGGTGGCTGAAGTAGTAGTGGTGGTGATTGTGACGATCGACGGTGGTCTTTCAGACTAAAAAATGAAATCCATTTGGATTTCAGCTGACTCTTATTTTACTACTTGTGAGATTTCGAGGTAAAAACCTCTAAAATAATGAAGACCTAACATATTTAAACGTGTTTTTTTTCGGGGGGGGTCAAAGAAAAGGGCATATCATGCACAATTCTGAATCCGCTCCTGATGTTGGAAGTTACTTCATCACAACAGACATCACACCACCAAATATTACAACTGAGTTTTTACACACCCATATGAAATATGGGAAACGTGTCGAAGGCTACCCGCAAGAAGATCATATTTACTGCCATTGATCATGGACTGACCAGGGATATCCCTGGACTGACACAGCTATACGTCTCCTTGCGAGCAGCAGACAGTGTGTGTTTTTTGGTTTCGTCAGTTTGTTTTCTTAAACTTAAGAAGATGTGCTGAATTCTATCGCACTCCTTGTCAAAATGGTGTATTATAATGACGGCTATCATTGAGCCAAGTATGTCTGGATACATTCTTCATCGTACCAGCACAACAACATTTAGTATATAGTATACACCGCCCCTTTCGTGGGCCCCTTTATGCTATACAAATATTAATACCAGCATTAGTAGGTTTCATTTAACCAAGAAGTTACCAGTAACTTCTTGATTTAACATTTATCAGAATTACCGTGAACTGCTATGGTTATGACTAGCTAGATCGACCTAATGACCCGAATTCACAACAGAAGTTTAAACACCCGGGGTTTAAAGATAAAGTTGAGTTCTGGTCGAGATTGCATTGTGACAGAAACGTTGTGGAATCGATCAGAAAAGGTTGATCATCTAGCGTATAAGTATTGGTGTGTATTTCAAGGATCTGAAATCATCAAAATGATAAGAAATTTGGCCCAGTCTTTATAAAGTTACAATTAAGCACTGTATACAGAAAGATGTATATGAGACTACACAAACATGTGGCATAAAGATCCGTCCCAATCTTTATGATATACATGCCATATTAAGAATGTTAAGGCATTTGAAGAGCCATGCTTTTCAGGGAACATTTTTTATCTGATGTTCTTCCACACTTGCATAATACAATGATAACGCTCACAAATAAGTTTTCACCTCTTCTCAGAACTCGACCTTCTCTTTAAACTTCTTTTGTGAATTCGGGCTATTGTATATGATTATTCAAAATCAGTGGATAAATATGTAGATATTACTTCATCTATGAAGTCAAAGAAACATAAATACCGCAATTTACATTGTGTATGTATTCGCATAGTTGATGTAGTTACGCGGTTAGTGGTCAAGTTCGGATCCTTTAGTGAGGGGGTGGGGGAACTAGACGTCATGGTGGTGGTGGGGGGTTGCACGTGTTCTACTGTGATAGAATGCGAATATTTGGTAGGTGGGTCGCACCGTCTTCTTCTCACGTTCCCTTTGCCCTATTCCTTTCATTTTCTCAGGTCCCCCTTTTCCCTTTTATTTCTGCCGTTCGACGGTAAGGGGGACGCCCCCACCTCCACCCATCAGATTTTCTTCTCATTAGCTTGGTTAGTAGGCTTTATAACTATCTCATTACTGCCAATGAGTAAAGTAAGTGTGTTAGAGTTTGATTAATGTTTTGATAGCAACTAGCAAAGTAACTTCTTATTCTTTTCTGTTCCATTAGCCCTTCTTAAGACTGTGTAGACTACACCATCAAGATGGCAGAGACTGCAAAGAATGGCCGAGCTTCTGGTCTTGAGGAGTCCAATGATACAGGCTCGGATAAGGTGGTGTTGGCTCGTTCATTAGGATTAAAGGAATGCGTTAGCATGGTGATGGGTATCATCATTGGAACTGGTATCTTCATCTCACCTAAAGGTAAGACCAGCCTCATCAGTGCCGGGCGTAGCCAGACCGTCATCGGCCTATTGAGGGGCAAAAAAAACCCAGCTTACTCTGATTTATGAACTAGTTTTCGCTTCGAAGGGAGGGGGGGGGGGGGTACCGCCAAAAGTGATCAAATATAAGTAAGTTATGTTTCGTGCGTTGCTTGACTTACTCTGATTCTCTTATATAGCTAGCTAACCACTAGTATGAAAGAAGTTCATGGTTATATTCTTTTTGTCGGTCGGAAATCTGTCAGAAGGGGCACAAAGCTCTTCTTTGCCCCCCCCCCCCCCACTCTTCATATACGCTCGTGGAACTCACCGTCCAATGGGGGGGGGGGGTATGCTTCTTCTAATAATAATAATAATACAAATTAAGTGATTTAGAGAAAGTGGAAACGGCAGGGGCTCTCGAAAAGTGTGTCACGTATACTATGAATATGACTGACAAAGAAAGCGGACAAAATATACAGTTCCTCAGGTAGACAAAGGAACATCCTTTCGCTTCTATTATGTAAAAAGGCGAATAAGCATGTGACACCTGTTCTACACATTTTTACACAATAGCAGTGAAGGGATGTTCCTTTGTCTACCTGAGGAACTGTATATTTTGTCCGCTTTCTTTGTCAGTCATATTCATTAATGGATAATAACTTTCTAATCTAAATAGTTGACAACTTTATTATTACAGATTGCTCATATACTTTCATTCAAGTAAACTTGCTATCAAGATCGGATTTTCCTTTTTAAAGGACACTCGTCGTCGTTTCCAAAATTTGCAAGTTGACTAAAATTTCAAAGTAATAATACCATGAAAATGATTGTTCTAAATAAGGCCTACGCTCTTTAACTCAAAATCTGACGTCTTGAATCCCCTCCACCCCCCCCCCCCCCCAAAAAAAAAAAATTGAGTTGCATTTTTTTTTAAAGTAATATTGGTAATAATTATTGGAGTATCTTCTGTTTCGGAGCCAGAAGGCCATTAAGCCATATACTTTAAGACAGAATTAATGACCTTCTGTCTCTGAAGGTTACCTTGATTTCCAAACAATGGGAATTATACTGTGCTTTAACCAGGCCGTGGTTGAACCTCACCCTAGTCATGATCAGATCTCATTGTGAAGTGATGTTTGTTTTCCTGTATCCGCCCGAAAACTACAGACAATTATTGTTATCATTTCCACTTGTACGCGAGGCGACCTATGTTTCATACGAACCAACTTCATTGTATTTAAATCCTACAAATCGAATCACTTAGGGCTGGCATTCAGCAAATCACCAAACACATTATTGACTCCGAATTGCAAAGAGGTATTGTTTTAAAAAAGCAGGGGGAATCTATTCAAATCTCAAAATCTCATTGTTTTGAAACATTGTTTGAAGTAATGTCATTAAACTCGGTTCTGATGACGATACTCTCTCTCTTCAACTTTACAATGGGAAATATTCAAGAGGATATATTATTTATGTTGTATAGTTTTTAAATGTTATTTATATGAATTATTTACATCAAAGTCACATCTGAAAAGGGAGTTATGTAATCGGCAGAGGAGCTGGATGGCCTGGTTTAATCAGAAGCCCCGTATGAAGTTGCCGATTAATATAAGAATCACATATTGTTGTCTTCTAAAACAACTGGCCATAGAAGATAAGATTTAGTCTAGACTCCTTAAACAAATCGGTTACTTCCTAAAGTATTAACAAACACAAATAAAAACACTCTGGTAGGAGGGAAAGAGGTTGAGGGAGCCTGGGGAGAGAAAGTGAGAGAAAGAGAGAGAGAGAGAGAGAGAACAAATCCAGTCCAATCCAGTTTAAACCGAATATTTCCATATCTGTCTGGTTTGTAATAATGTTGTAAGGACAGTGTGTTGCCCTTTATATGACATATTACTCGTTGGAGGTTTCTATGGACAGGAATGGAAATAGTCCCGTTAACTTTCTCCTCTTCATTTGCAAATTATTTTGATGGAGATCCAACAAGGAAGGTAGGAAGAAGAAAAGAGAAGAGCAGAGGAGGGAAAGAGAGAGAAGAATAGCAAGTACATAATAACCGATTAGCTTGAGTGTACCCTTTTCTTGGTTGTTGCACATTAATAATATAAAATCTCGATAACGTATTTATTTTTCCTCCAAAAAAATGCAGAAATAAGTTAAAATAATGAGTATCTTTATTTACAGCTTTCGGGTAGTGGTAGGTGAATGGTTTGCAAAACAAAATTATAAGTCATGATTTAAAGTTGGTTCGGTAATTAGTCGGTTCTATTTCCTGGGTAAAAAAAACATATATACATTATTATGTACACATGAACATAAAACTAGTTTTTTTTATAGAGAAAACGCCTGGATTGCTCTATTCAGAGCCATCATCAAATGGCTCCGTTCTTTCTGTGGTACAAAATACATGATGCTATAAAAAACAATTGCGTTTCTTACTCTCTTTAGTAAACAGATGTTGCGATGCTTATCTTTCTAGTTCAGAACCAGTTAGGAAATACAGTTAGACATAATAGGGAAGCAATATATTCTTAATGACAATCTATCGATGTTGATAACATTTGATAAGCTACAGCAGAGGAAAGAAGGCAATAATTTGCGAAGTTTTTTTTCTGGCAGGACGTTGAGATAAGGACGCTAACTCACCTTTGACTAGAGAAAGTCTGTTAGCTATCGTAATGGTGGGTGGCCGGCGAATTTGCGATTCCCAAACCATTCAGCTATGGGAAACATTTTGAGCAACGTGATTGGTTAAAAAAGTTATAAAGACACGCCCACATCGACGCGAGCCATCTCATCATGGCGGTGCGAATGTGTCTGGGGCACTGATCTCTACGATTTTTCCGTAGAGATCAGTGGTCTGGGGCCAAGTCCGAGTGAACCATCAAATCTTCAAAATGATTTTCCAAATCTGCATGTAGACTAAGTAGATATTTAGACCCTGTATTTAATTATTTTATTATAAAGTCGCCATGATCAGATGGTAACCCGACACATGCTCCGCCGACGATTGCTTCGCCGACATTTACTCCGCAAAACGCGACAATTGCTCCGCGACATTTGCTCCGCGACATTTGCTCCGCCGACATATGCTCCGGCGACATTTGCTCCGCCGACATTTGCTCCGCCGACAATTACTACGCCGACAATTGCTCCGCCGACATTTGCTCCGCCGACAATTGCTCCGCCTGAAGCGACACTTGCTCCGGTGACAATGTTGATGATAATAATAATAACTAGATTTGTAATACTTGTTTTGAACAAGTATAGGTGGGCTGGTCTAACTAAAATTTGAGACAAAACGTTCCTGCTTTCACGAAGTGACGGTAGTGAGGAAAACATGCATGCAAATTGTATGCGATTTTCATTCACTACCGTCACTTCGTGAAAATAGGGACGAAAATAAAGGGCAAATTTAAGATAGCTTATTGTCTCAGCTACAACATACTCGAAGTTCAGCGTAAACGAAGCTAAAACGACGGAGATATTGCTCGCGAAAGACGGGAATGTAGAATCCAGTTTTGAAAAAAGTCATGTCCCATAGAGAATACACGAAAAAAGTGAAAAATTGATATTCCTCCTTTAATCGCAAAAATACGCCATGATGCTTTTGTCAAAATTAAAAATTGTGAAGACTGCATTCGTAGAAGATTGTCCCAGCTAGAACATATCAAAATTGAAGAGAAAATTGATCAATTTTACAGAGATACAATCAATTTTCAAAAAATATGCTGACGTCATAATATGCAAATGGAAATTATAAGTTCGGAGGCCATTATGATGACGTCGTGAGTTAATTGATGGTCAAATGAGACATGAAATCATATCTCCGATTCATACTCTATCAACATATGAAAAAAATAGGGGTCACCTTACATTCTAAAGAGCTACAATGGATTTTGTATGGGCATGATTTTTTCCCTTATATGCTATGTATTACAAGAGCTCGCACGCACGGACATGTATCTTAAACGGACCCTCACTCCGTTATTAATGGTCAGAAAAAGGTGAACAAGGTATCAAAATGCTTGAAAAAATGTGCTAAATATGATGACGAAGAAAATTTGGCGATTCTGTTTTGCAAAATGTCAGAACGCGCGAAAACGCGCGCGCATGCGCATGTATGAGATATTTTATAAAATGCTTTAAATAGCCTAAAACGTATGCTAAATGATTTTGAGTTTTTTTTGTGCATTTTGAAATTTTGCGCGCGCACCGACGCGCGGACGTACGGGTACGCGCGCATTTTTTTTGACCTCATATTGACCGGACGAATATTGACCTTAATCATGATAAATATGAATCAAAAATGGCTTTTGGTTATGAAGATATGATCATGAGTTGATTTTCAGAAAAAATTACAAAATGGCACCTAGATGACGTCGTCAGTGAAGGTCATAGTTGAAAACGTCATTGTGTTTTGTACATATGCCTATACATATATGTGTGCCAAATTTGAGCCATTTTCAAGTAATCGTGCTTACAAAAAAGTGGTTTGAAATAAGTAAAATAAATAATAAAGGCAATTCTAACGAAATTATAAAGTGTTCTGTACGCTATACAGCCCACCTGATAATAAAGGCAATTTCAACAAAATTATAAGGTGGTCTGTATTAGATACAGCCCACCTAATAATAAAGGCAATTTTAACAAAATTATAAGGTGGTCTGTATTAGATACAGCCCACCTGATAAATAAATAAAGGCAATTCTAACGAAATTATAAGGTGGTCTGTACGATATACAGCCCACCTGATAAATAAATAAAGGTAATTCTAACGAAATTATAAGGTGGTCTGTACGATATACAGCCCACCTGATGAATAAATAAATAATAAAGGCAAATCTAACGAAATTATAAGGTGATCTGTACGATATACTGCCCACCTAACAATAAAGAATAATAAAGGCGATTTTAACAAAATTATAAGGTGGTCTGTATAAGATACAGCCCACCTGATAATAAAGGCAAATCTAACGAAATTATAAGGTGGTC